TCTTCCAGCAGTGACCAATGCCAGGTGCCCTAGAGGGAATGAACAGAACAGGGAATCATCAAGTGATCCATCCCGGCAGCAGTGTTTGTGCTGAGGTTTTGCCATTCGGCAAGGAAAGGGACACTGCCTCCTGGGCCAGCAGTCCATCGCTTCTGTCCAAATATCTTCTCGTTCTGTCTGTCCCAGGGTGGGGAATTTTGACCTAGTGCCCTAACTGGGGCACCCGACTGTGGGCGCATCACACCTCTCAAAGTAGTGTGCCTGTGCCCTGCAGGACAGGCCCTGCATTCCCAACATGCCATGACGTGTTCTAGACGCTGCCCTGACGTCAGTAAAGGTGACCGCTTTTTGCCAGAAAAATGGGGTCCGTTCTGGTTCAAACATCCTGACTGATACACCTTACATTTCTATAGCACTTTTAACCATGAAGGATCCCAAAGTGCTTTTGCAAAGTCTGAATAGCTACAGGAGCCACCTCATCTCCTCCTCAAAATGCAGCTACTTCTGGAGTGGAACACTGTCTTTTCAACAGCACACACCACCACCCTAGGACAGTGGTTTTCAACCTGGGGTCTGCAGACCCCTGGGGTTCCAAAGACTATGTCTAAGGGGTCTGCGAAAGGTGGTCATTACCATAGAAGAGAGGTTCTCAACCTGTGGTACGTGGATCTCTGTGAGGCTGCAGACTGTGTCTAAGATTTCCAAAGGGGTCTGCACCTCCAGTCAAAATTTTGTAGGGGTCTGCAAATGAAAAACGGTTGAAAACCACTGCTCTAGGACAGGAAGCGAAGAAAGATGCTGCATCTAATTTAAATGGGGGCGGGGAGTCTAGTTTTACATTGTCTTGAAATAGTGTCTCCGCATCTGTAATTATAATTGCATCTATTTAAAATCCTTGTTAGGGGGTTTAAACCGCGACAGCTATGAAGGAAGTTTTGGAGACGGCCTGCAGTGCTCATGTCACTTGGGCCACACCGCAGTTGGTGGCAGCCTACGTGGAAAGCCCATCTTTGTGCAGTGCTGTAGCCGTTTAAAACCACATCTGATTAGATGAATTGGTTTGAAAAACACTCTCAACATAAACTGTTTCTTGAACTGGAGCAGAGTGTGGTTGCTTTGGGGTTCAGGCTGGAAGATACAACTTCTGTCAGCAGCTCCACCATGTCAGGAAGAAACATTTCCTTCCAGTGTTCTGGCATGTACCCTTTGAGTTCGTGTGCTGCCTTTGTTACCAAGTGCCCTTGGATTGATACCAAAGCAAACCTACTTAATAAAAGTATTTTTAATTCTGTGATCATTCATTGTTTGTGCAAACTGGGTGAATTTATCCAGCTGGACTCAATCCTGGAGTCGTTGCTCAGACAAAGCTCCCAGAGCCATCCTGCCAGACCATTCTTAATTGCTGTAAATTCTGTTTTCTGGGATTCAAGGCATGGGCATGGGGTAAGAGCTTTGCACGTGCTGCTCTCTCTGTTTCTCCTCTGCCGTCAACTGTTATATGCATTTCCCATAATCCCCTAGCAAGCAACCTGTGTAATCCACCTAACCTAGCATGGGTTTTGGCCCTAGTGGCTATGTCACATAAGAGATTTGAGTCTGCTACTGCTGCAGGGTTAATGGGTCCTTTAATTCAAACAGCGGAAGTCATGCTTTTAGATCACGCAGTCCCTGCTGACTCGTCCAGGGGGTCAGTACATGTGCAAGTTGAATGCCCCCTCTTCAGTCCCTTTAGTTTGTCCCCTACTGACGTTGCCAAGTCACCTTAGGTCTAGGGGCTACTCGGGCTGGAAACACCAAATTACAGGCTGACCATATGTCACAATATGTCACGCTGCCCTCTCGCTCTCCTGGACTTTGGTTTAAATATAAACAGACATCACTGAGGGAGTCAGAGCCCCCTGTCCCATCACACTTTTTCCTGCCCCTCTTCTCTGGCTGTTGAACTTTTACAGGAAGAGCTGGCTGCCTGGAGAAATGCTAATTATACAAAATCTTCTTGTATAGATGCCAAGCATTGGTTGCTGACGCAGCATTACTCAGCACTTTGTGTGCAGACTTCCTCACGTGGGGGGAAAGAATTTCCCATCTGTCCGGGGCTGGAGAACAATGAACTGCTTAAAAATCCCAGGTCCTCTCACACTCATAGTCAACTGACTTCTTTGAGAGCAGGATTAGGCCCTTAATTAGCTCACAGAGGGCCTGATTCTGCCACGTTTACTAGCTGACCAGCTGTGTATTTTCTGAGTAGCCCTGCTGAAATCAATGAACCACCCCCCAGGAATGAAGATGAGAAAAACTGAAAGAAATGACTGTTTATATTCCAGTAGCCCCAAGAAGTTGCAGCTGAGCTCAGGGCCTCATTGTACCGGGCAGGGCATATACACAGAGCGAGAGACAGCCCCCGTCCCAAAGAACTTACAGTCTAAATACATAAGAAAAGGGTGGGGGAGAGGCAGCACTGGTGCTGTTGGGAGGCTGTGTACTTCAGTGGACCCTGACTCAGGAGACCTTGAGTCTAGTCCCAGCTCTGCTACCCAACTAGCTGCATGACCTTGGGCAAGTCACGTCATCTCCTGTGTCCATCTTGTCTAGTAGGCTGGTAAGGTCTTTGGGAGAGGGCCAGCCTCACACAGTGTATGGTCTAGCACAATAGAGCCCTGCTTTCAGCTGGGGCCTTTAGACACAAAGAATCACTACGACTAAGAACAATCTCTAGTTCAAATGAGCTCAGCTCCCATATAGGCACCAGGATCAAGCCCTGAATTTCTATGTGCCTCATTTTATGCAAACAACTTGACTGAGCTCACCCGGCAAATGATGTCAGAGCAAGAGACAGAAGGTACCAATGCCCAGTTCCCTACGCTAACACTCCCTTGGTTAACTAAATGGCCTTTACACAGTAGCGTCACCAGTAGGGGTGTAACAGTGGGGACTACACCGCTCCCTAGCACAGAGCTGCTGTTTATTCTTGGAGGCAGAGGAATGCCTGTGCAAGCCAACCCAAGGGGTTAAAGGACCCAGATTCCATGCTGTCAGTGAGGAAGCTGCTACAGTCAAATGGATCCTTGTGGAAGCTACAAGCCTCTTGCTCTGGGAACGCTCCCCATTTAAAAATAGCTCCCTCCTCCCCCTGTGAACACAATAGACTCCTTCCTGCCTTGTATTTCCTAGCAGCCACGTGATGGCATTGCTCAGTAAATAGAGTTTTACTTAGTGGTTGGCTTTGGCTGAATTTATCTGATGCCAACCAGTAAGTGCAAAGTTTTGTTTCATTTGAGACATCAGCCCCATGTGGCTGGCTCAGTGGTGGAGGGGTTGGAGCCCAGCACTAGCAGCGGCCCAGGCAGTTGATAGTGGAAATGGACCCGTTCTGATCTGAGCGGCCTGTGTGTGTCCAGCTCTCGCTGAGAATCTGTGTCCGGCTGGAGGAGATTAGTGCTACGCGGCGGGATGTCCCAGCACTCCAGCCACAGGGTTGCTTGTGTTCCAGAGAGAGTGAAGTGCCAGTTTGTGCGCATGGCCCTTGTGTCACTGGGGGTTAGGCTGTGGCCAGCCAGCAGCTATTGGCAGTTTTCCTCTCTGCCTCATGCCCCCCAACTCCACACAGTGTACAGGAGGGGGCAGGGTAGCCGGTCCGAGGGGGGAGAGAGGGGAGCAGTTGAATTACTACACACAGGGCAGGGCTTTCCCATTTTGACATCTTCATCTCTCCAGTGTGCCACCCATCTGAGCATGGACTGGTGTGCAGGGCTGCCATGGCAACTGTGCTCGCGCAGGCGGTAACCAAGGCGCACATACAAACATGGCATGGCAGCTAGGGTTAAGGAGCCCGATTGCCACATGGGGCCATTCCATACCAGGCAGGCGCAGGGCTGCGCTGTGCTCCGCTGGGGCGGAGACCAGACGGGCAGGATGAACATCACACATGCTATTTATCTTGAAACCAGCCTTCCTCTTTTGCCAGTGGGATCCCTAGGCAAAGTGGCTCCCCCGCTACATTTTGGGATGGGGAAGGCGGAGCAGAAGCGGGGTCCAGATCCCACACCTGGGCCCACCCGCCCACTTCGTATGCCTGTTTCCTTGGTTTTACAACACAACCCGGCTCACAGGTAGGACCATGTTCCTTTGTTAGGCGGACTGATGTCTGGAGCTGACCCACTCTACCGCTGCAGTAACTCGCCGTGCAGTTGTTGCTTGACAGCTGGCTCTGCACAAACAGAGTCCCGGGATGCTGGAACAACTATTGTAGTGGGGGGGGGGGCTGAGAGCCATTGAACCAAACTGTAAACCCTGGATATAATGGAAACTGCTCCAAGCCAGGGGGTGCAGCAGCACCCCCGCACCCCTAGTTCCAGCCCCTATGACAGAGCCTGTAAAATAACCTCCTGACAACCTAAAACACCAATGAAGAGAGGCCTTCAGACCCACTTACCACCCTGGGAGCCATTGCTCCTGCCTCTGGCTAGATAGAGATGGATTCACAGGCCCAGAATCCCACCTGCCCCCGAGACTCTGTGCCCTGGTGCTGCCCGTGCAATAGCTTCCCAGCCGCAGGAAATACACTTCTCCATCTCGGTACTATGATTTGTGCAGAAGAAGTGTAGTCTAATGGTTACAGCCAGGCACTGGGGTGCCCAGGACTCTTGGGGTCTAGTCTCAGCTCCCTCACTGACTGGCTGTGAAACCTGAACAAGTCACTTAACCTCCCTGTGCCTCGGTTTCCCCAGCTGCAACATGGGCGCTATGAACCTTCTCCTGCTGAGCACTCCGCTTGACCTCAGTGGGGAGTCCGAGCACGGGGGGCAGGGTTTGGCCCAGCGCTTTGAGATCCCCCGAGGGCAGGGTGCAGAGCCATGCTGGCTGCATCTCCAGGACCTGCCCGCGCCTTTCCCCCAGCACTGGCCGGCCGGCGTGTGTCTCCACGGCAGACTCCGCAGCGCACGCGCGCTCCCGGCAGCCGGTGGGGGGCGCTCGGACCCCCCCTTTCCCACGCCGCGCGAACGCGGCTGGGGAGGGAAGCGGGCGCGCGCTAGGACTCGGGCGCGCCGCCGTTCAGAGAGCAGGTGGCCGCGCGGGGGCTGCAGGCGCCGCGCTCCCGGATCCCCGGCAGGGCAGCGTGCCCGCGCTAGGGGCTCCTCCGCGCGCCCGGGGCTGGCCGAGCCCGCAGCGGAGCGAGGTGAGCGGCGCATCCCCGTGCGCCCGGCAGGGCCCCGGCGATGCGGACTGGCAGCGGGGTGGAGGCGCCCCTCGGCCGGGCGGCGGAGAAGTTGGCTGGGCGGGGAGAGACCCTTCCTTGGCCCTGGGTCCGTCTGCAGATGCACCCCGGGGTGGGCCGCATCTGCCGGGGTTAGGGGTTCGGGGTGTGTTCGGACCGCGCCACCGAGTGGGAACGGGGCTGGGCAGGGAGGGGCTGCCCCCGGGGGCACAGAGGGGTGGGTGCCGCCCGGGGTCTGTGCCTGGTGGTGCTGGGCGCCAGGCGCTGGTGCCAGGCTTGGGCGTGTGATAGTGATTTGCACGAGTGCGCAGGGCTCTGCCCGAGGCAGGCTCAGGCCCCAGGGGTGAGTGGCGGATCAGTGGGATTGATTCCGGCTCTCCCTGGGCAGAGGCGTCGTGCGCTGCCCCAGTTTAGCCAGAGACGAGTATTTCTGTGATACCGGCGGATTAGCAGTGACGCTCGTTTCACTCTGGTTTCCCCAGGCAGAAGCGGGCAGCTGGTTGGGTTTTTCACTCTAGGAGGTTGCAGAGGGCAGATCGGATCAGCCCTCCCCTGGGGCAGGGCCCTGGCGGGGGAAGAGATGTGACCGAGTGAGCCTCAAGATGGAAGGGCAGCCTGCCAGTGGGAGCTGGGGCCCTCTCACAGTCCCTTGGAAGGGGGGGAAGGTGAGGAGGAGAGACCCCCAGGCCGGCCAGGCTCTCAGGTTTCCTCAGATGAAAGGTCTCGCCCAGGTAAGAAAAGGAGAAACTTCACGCGGCCTCCCTCTCTGATCTGGGACCCATCCTCCAGGTTTGCACTTCAGCAGGCCAGATGTGCACATAGGTCCTGATCACTAGGGATTTGTCGGTGAAATTCCTAGTGGGGAGGACTCTGGAGCTGCTGGGCGAATAGGGCATCGGGAACTAGACAGCACGCGATAGTGCAGCCCAGAGGCAAGCAGAGGAGGGGTGTGGGGGGTTAGCCCACTGACTTCACAGACTCCTAGCGCTTGCTGTGTTCGGAGCTCTGTGCTGCTGGATGGGCTGGGGGGTGCTGAATCACTGCCCTTGGGGGAGCCCTGAGCATTTGTGCATCTTCCTTCCCCTGGCTGTTTGCTCTCCTCCCCTCCCTCTCTCTCATTTTAGCACCCCTTGTGCCATCACCTGCTCTGGGGAAATTCAAAGCTCAAACTAAGCCACCCACCTGTTCGGGGGCCAGCCAGGGAGAGGGTATTTGTCCTGCCACCATGCAGAGGATGGGGGGTGGGGGGAGATGAGCGGTAATAACCTCCCAGAGCTGCTTTCCAACCCAAGTGATGATTCCCTGCTTCTCTCCCTCTGCCTCCATCCTCCTCCCACCCACGCAGAACATTATCCGCCTTTGCCTTTTTACTTCCCCACACACGAAACATTCTCTCCCCGCCCCTCAGCTATTCAGGCGAGGCCCGGAGAGGAGAGTGATGAAGGCGCAAACGGACTCGGTGTAGTTGGGAGGCTGAGCGTTAAAGAGGATGAATCGTGCTCGGTGAGAACGGACGGCTTCCCGCGCCAGCCGAGGGGGGATATTGTGGACTCCAGGATGGGTAGGGGAGCCAGGAGGAGGAGGGAGTGGAGACATCCAGGTGATAGATGCAGGTTGCATTATGCCTTCGTTGGGGGTCTGGGAAGCTTTGGGGAGGATGAGCTTTGCCAGTCTCAAAGCACTACCGGTGCACACAGAGTCTGACTAGGCCCCATCCTCCTCTTCTGGAGCTGAGCAGGGCTGGCAGTGCTTGGGGAGCGCTGATGGCACCGTTGTGGCTCACTCTTGCATGGGTGCCAGCCAGGGCCGGCCTTGGGCGGGGGGGGGCGATTGTCCAGGGCACTGGTCAGGGGGGATCTGTGGTCAAAGCCCTGGGGCTCGGGCTCCCTCTTGCTGCCAGCAGGGTCCGGCATGGCCGGAGCCCCTGCTCCCAATTGAAGGCTCCCTGCTCGCTGCCCCACCTGGTTTCCCAGCCCAGCTCCTAGTCCCGTCTCCTCACTCTGCAAATTGGTTGGCTCTTCCCCCCCCACCGCTGCACTTGCAAACGCCCGGACCCAGCCCGGACAGCAGGCAGGGCCCAGGGCTGGCCTTATGGGGGGACAGCGTGGCAAGGAGCAGGTGGGCCTGGGTGTGAGGCTGTGGGAGGGAGCTCGGGGGAAACCCAGGGAGGCAGTGTGGGCAGGGGTGATGCAGGGGATGGCTGGGAGGGCAGGAGGGGCCAAGGGGAAGGGCTGGGAAAGCAGCTGGGGTGCCAAAATATAAGTTCATCCGGGACACTGTTTCTGAGGCTGGTCCTGGGTCAGTTTAACCTTTTCCACTCCACACACTTTTCTTTCCAGGGGACCAGTGTAGGGGCAGCCCCTGTTCAGCGCAGGCTGACATCTGTATGGGTTCCTCTCTGCTGTTCTTTCCCCTACCCGTCCCACTGTCAGCCATGCCACACACGCTGCGACTGGCTGGGTCAGAGGTGCGCAGAGCCGCCTTTGGCCTCCTAGGTGATCCCTGTGATCCTAGCCCAAAAGCCATCAGAGAGCATTTGCCAGGCTGTCCCTCTGGCTCCTTTCCCCAGCAATGACTGCACAGGACAGAGTTACAAGGAAGCCCCCTTGGGTCATCTCTGTGGTCGGGGCTCCCAGGCTGTGTGAGATTAACGTGGGTGTGGGTGTGGGTGGGTGTTATTTCCCAGCCTTCCCAAGGCAGTGAGGAAAGAGGATTTTTCCAATCATGCTAAGTACTGAAGAGGGAAAATTGCAGTGACTCACTAATGAGGACTTAAAAAACAATTGGTTGGGTCTGTGCTTGGTATGGAGCAGCTGTGGAACGGTAGATCCCTGCAGAGTGTGTGTGTCCACGTGCACACGTTAGCGTGGGAGGGAAAAGAATATACTCTTTAGGGCTTCATTGTTCACAAAGGGGCTGGTGTGAGCTGGGAGCCCTTCTGTGAAACGAGTTGTTAGGTTCTCAGCCCAGTTCCTATTGCACAGGCATCCCCATCTGTAGCTGGTCTCAGCAAAGAGGTCGCTGTCAGATTGCGCCATCTGCTGCTTTGGTTTTTCCAGGACTTTGGCCCATTGGCAGGGGAGCGGGGAGGAAACTTGCCCTGCTACTGCCTGTGCTGGGGATAGATCAAAGACCCAGACACCCAGACTGAGGTACATCAATGGTGACACCTTCCCCCACCTCTCTCTTCTGAGCTGGAGGGGACCCCTGCTAGTGGGGAGAGGGGAGATCAGTCCTCCTGCCCTATTCACGCAGCCTCCGGACTGAGCCTGCCAGCAAAGGGAGCTGTGGTGTGCCAGTTGTGGGGATGGAGTTAATGATGCAGGCACCTGTCCACCAAGGACTGGGCTGAGACAGACCAAACTGACTGTCTGTTGTACATGCATGGCCCCCATTACCAGAGGGCTTGAGGGCCTCACAATTGTTCATGTATTTGTCCTCACAGCACCCCTGTTCGGGGCTCTTATCTCCCAGTTACAGATCGGGGAGCTGAGACACAGGGAAACCGACTGACTCGCCCAGTGGCGGAGCTGGGTGGGACTTAAACGTCCTAACCTAGTGCCTTCATTTCACACAGGCCACCAAAGAGCCATCAAATGGCACCAGCTTGAAGTCCCCATCAGCCTAGGCTGGATTCAGGCTGGGGAGGTGGCTGTGAAAAGCTCCCTCTCTCCGTGACCCAGCCAGCCCTTCCCCTCCACCCATGTAAAACCCAGCGTGAGCCCTCTGAGAGGTGGCCGGCTGCCTTTGCGCCGTTTGCTTTAATGGGATTTTGTATCTCTGGGGAGTGCAATCCCCTTAGAGGTTGGGTTGACGCGATCATGGGTAAACAGTGTCCCCCAGCCGGTTTATGTCCCTTGATCGGGTATTTGTTTGAATGGATTTCACCGAGCTTTCTGGGCAGGAAAATAATCTCCTCCGAAAGCTTAACCAGCCTGCAGGTTCGTGCTGTAATAAGCCAGGGGGTGGGAGGCATGCTTATGCTGAGGTCTGCCTTAGGAGACCCCTCCCTCCACCTCCCTGCCAGGGAATGAGCCTGTGAGGAGGAGACTGATGAGTCTGCCAAGCTGCCCTAGCACAAGACCTTGCTATACAAACACTGGGTTTGAACTTGAGCTCACTTCTCCAGCGCTAGCTGAGGAAGGAGAGTTGCAGCTGACTCATGACCCCCGGGGTTTGGAAGATCCACGCCGGATCGCCAGGCAGAGGAATATTTGACCCATCTCTTGGGCCTTCCCTCTAAGGGCATCGCAAAGCCCTTTACAAACATTAACTAATGAAATTAAGTCTCTCAACCATTCCCCCCCCATCTTGTGGCAGATATTATTGTTTTCCCCAGTTTACAAATGGGGCAACTGAAGTCCAGGAGATCCAGTGACTTGACCAGGGATAGGACCCAGGAGTCCTAGCTCCCAGACCCCCGCTGTAACTGCTGTCCTTTGCTGTAATGACCCATTATGTAAGCTGATGTTACGTATGGCTAATCCAGTTGACAAACCATCGCTTGCTTTTCTTCCTCCTGGGAGATCTCTCTGTGACCAGCAGCCGTTCCGGGCTGACGGGGCTGTCTGTCTGAGGAGCACTAAACACATGGCCGACTTACGCTTTAGAAAAGTGACTGAGCTTTCACCCTGTGGCGTGGTTCCCCTGCACCTCCCCTGCTTCAATTAAAGGGTGTAGGAGGAGGGGATGCTTCCCAGCGGGAGGGGAGAGTGGGAGACCCACACTCAGGTCAGAGGACTCTGTACTCCATCTTTGGACCTGGCTGCGCTTGGGAGATGGAGCCAGAAGGGAGAAGACAGCCTGGGAGCAAGGTGCATGAAAAGGGCCATTTAGGTGCAGAGCCCAGGTTGAGGGAGATGAAGGACCAAAATAAGGGGGTTGGGGAGAAATAGCGACATCCAAAATTGAGCTGTTCAGAGAAGGCCCTGAGCTGTGATACGTGGCCGGGCAGATGTTGCACATCCGGGAAGGCAGCATGGTGCCAGAGGGCTTGATTCAAAGCTCTTTGCGGTCCATGGAAAGACTTGCACTGACTTCGCTGGGCTTTGGCTCAGGCCAGGAGAGCACCATGCAGCAACGTGGTGCGTTCAGCCCTGTAGGTGCACCCAGCCCAGCCTAATGTGTTTGGGGCAGGTTTGGGCTGTGCTGTCATGCGGGTCGGAGCATAATGGGGTGGAGATTGGTAGCCATGGACTTGTATTCGAGGAAGGGAGCGGGTAGTTCAGAAAGTGACCATGCCTCTGTGGTTCTGTGCAGGTGCTCGAGTTATGCTGATGAAGGCTCCGCACTAAGGCTGGCAGAGAGACATGAGTAACAACACGGTAAGTCCCGCTGTCCTTGTCCTGAGCATCCATCTCCCAGCCCTCGGAGGGTCTCATGGAACCTCCTGCCTACTGGGTCCAAGCGCTTTGCGTCTTCAGGGCATTCTGGCATGGACGAGTCAGTCCTCAACACAGCCCTGAGAGCTAGATGATGTTCTCCCCACGTCACAGATGGAGGAAGCTGAAGCCAGAGGTTAAATAGTTTTCTAAACACCTTTCACCCATTCCAGCTCAGGGCTGGCCCATTAGCTGGCCCAGGGATTGGGACAGCGGGTGGCAGTTCCGGGAGCTGAGCAAGGCTTTGCCGGGATCTCCTAGCACCTTTGATATGGGAGTATGATCAGGAGGCTCTCGCTGTGGGTCAGTGGTGGTGGTGATGGCTGGGCTCTCTCCTCCCCTCTGCTCGGCCATCTACCAGAGCTGGTTCACTGACCTGCCCGGCACAGCGTTGGGGGTTAATGTGATTTTTTTTACTGGCTTAGGTTTCGTTTCCGTGCAGCAGTGGCAGCTTGTGCTCTGGGTTCAGGGCAGCTCTGTACATAATCGCTGTGCTTAACCCTCGGAGCATGGCATCTAGACCCTGTGGCTGTACGCGATTTAAAACCAACCCCAATAAACCCACCTAGCCCCAGGTCACAGAGGGAGCCAGCGGTAGGTGTTCCTTGCTCCTCAGGCTGCTCGGCCAAGCCTGTCAGTCGGGACTGGGGAAAGCCAGCCCTGACTGAACCATGACCTCCTGCCCTGTCCTCCGGGGTCTTGAAAGAGGGAGTTGCAGCAACGCCGGGTGGTTCATTCTAGCCTTGATGGAAGCAGGAGATAGCAGAAATCTCACCAGAGGACCAGACTCCTGGGGAGAGGGTCCCAGCCTGTGGTCAGAGGCCCAGGGGGCATCTGAGCAGATCCAGTCTCAAGAGAAACCTCCAGACTTTACCTCAAGTCAGGGCAGAACTGGGGGGACTCTGCTTGGTTTCCAGAAGAATCTATCAGCCCAGGTTCCCATGTGGCACAGGGGAATCTCACGGGAGATATGAGAGGACCCTGGAGCTCTTGCTTAGAGGTGCGTGGGGAGGACTCTTGCTTGAGACAGTGGGAGCCTCTGGGGCTCACTAAAAATCTCTGGGCCCTGGGGAGCCTGGCAGAGCTTTAGTGGCGGAGTCTTGCCTGGTTTTAGGTTCCCCAGCTCTGACCTTTCTCTCCAAACCTTCCAGCGTTCATCTCTTACTCCGCCCCTGCCCTCCTTTCCTGGACTGCTCCGGGCATCGTTACCCTCCCCACCTCTCCCCATCACCACTTCCCCCACTCCCCACACCAGTAAGTCGCTGGCCAGCCCAGCTCTGGTGGAACTCCATTGACATTCAGGATGATTCTCTCCCAGCCAGCCCCGCCCTGTGCTCCATCAGAACCGTGTATGTTCATCTGCGTCTGTTTTCCTGTATTCTGCCCACTAGTGATAGCAGTCTGAAAACTGCTTTGGGTCCCAGGCAGCCCTGCGGCTATGAGGTAGGAGAAACCTACCCCATAGGGTAGGAGGTCCAGTGGGACCTTGTGTCCTGCAGTGGGAGAATAGGGCCCTTGGGTTTTAATCCCAGCCATGACCTTGGACAGTCATTAGAGCCAACATCTACAAAATCAGCCTCTTGCTTTGGGTGTCCAGCTCCAACTCGAGACACGCAGGGTCTGTTGCTCAGTGCCGATGAGCGCCCACAGCTCCCGTTGGCTTCGTCTGGAGCTGCAGGTGCTCCACCCTTCTACAAATCAGGCCCACGGTGACTCAGGTTGAACACCCAAACCCAGTGGCCACCTTTGAAAAGATTGGCCTTAACCTCTTATTATTTGGTTATTTAATGCTAATTACAGTAGCCCTCAGAAGCCCCAGTTGGGCTCAGCACCCCAATTGTGCTGGGTGCTGCCCATAGGCTCAGCCCCTATCCCAAAGAGCTCAGTGCCTCCGTTTCCCCATTGGTAAAACAGGGATAATGTCACTGATTCTGTTCTCAAGCCTGGTATGAGGACTAACTAACTCATGTTTGTGAAGTGCTGTGCAGATGAGGCCACACAGAAAAGATGTGTCTTAGTGGTTTTCCTCTCCAGAAGATCAGGCACACCAAGTAGTGGAGTTCACATCAAATCTTTGTACCCTGAAGTCATGGTGAAATAGTAGTCAGGTAACCTGCATCTGCCCTGTTGTGGGAGCTGGGTTTCATTAGCTGCCAGCTCCAGATTAGGGGGCTGCCCTGGTTTCAAATGCACCATGAAATCCAGCTGAGCTTTCACTGGAAAGAGGGCAGGGAAGTGAATAAACCACACCCAGGAGTGTTTGCCCTGGTTCAGTCTCTCTGAAAACAAATTAACTCCGAGGGAGGAGAAAACGCAATCTTGGCTTACATCCATCTGAGGTTCCTGGCGCGGAAGGCAGCTGGAAGGTTGCTAATAGCCTGCTGGGCTATTGGGTCCCTGTGCTGCTCCATAGCCTATTAGCCTTTGTTCGTTTCCAGTCAAGGAAGGGGCCTGGGGCCTGCTCCTGCAGTCCGTGGGACTTTTGCCTAAAGATGAGGAATTATATGACTTCCTGCTGTAATGCAATCCAGGATCTAAGGGCCTGGAGGGTGAGTTGTCTGGTTTTTTTCCCCACACACAAAAGCAGTTGGTGTTCTCTTTCCTCCATGTTGAGCACTGATGTTTTGCGTGACAGGTTGAAAGGGTGTTTCTGATGCATGATCTAGTGCTGACTGATGAAGAATGCTGAATCGTGGCTGTGAGGTTGTTGTGAGTGTGAACAATAGCATTTTAGTGAGCCTAAGAGAGGAAGAGAAAAGCCAGATAAGACCTAGCTTAAACTTCCCCAGTGTCTTATTCCAGGCCAAATTATGAAGGTGCTCTCAGGGTTTTTATTCCATCTCTCTCTCCATCTTTCCAGTCAGCCCTCGTCACTTGGGTATCTCAGTGCACTCCTTGCACGGGCAATGCTCCTGTCTGCTTCAAGAGGAATTTTGGCTGAGTCAGGCCTGTTGTTGTTGTTTATTATTGGCATTTTTCTGAAGTGCCCTAGAGGCCCTGCCGTGCTAGGTGTCATCGGGCCCTGTCCCAAAGAGTTTACCGTTGAATTTGTGCTAGGATACATCAGAGTGCCAAACGGGATCTGATCTAAAAATTCTTTCCATTGACTTCAGTGGGCTTTGGATTGGGCCCTGAAGGAGAGAAGGGGGGGGAGGCGAGGACAAGGGTACAGGAAATAGGATCGTGCTGCTACCCACGGAGCTTTTGCGCAGTTTGGTGCATCCTGGTGGTTTATTTAGTTTTTAAAAAATAGATGAAATCAGCCGAGTGATGCCAGAGAAAGAACATTAGGTCTGAACTTTAGTACTCACTGACCAGCTGCACAGCAGCTGTCTCTTCTCATCCTCTCCTGACCTTTCAAGGAATTCACTCTCTTTTTCTTGGCTGACTTATGGTTAAATCAACAAGACAGACTTTAGTGTCAACAAAAAGGAGCCCAAACAAGAGAAGTCACTGGCGCGCAGAGATTGAGGCGGTGTGCTGTGCTTTCTGACTCCTGTGGATTATCGAAGTCATCTGTTTACAAGGCACCTGTAAGCACTGTACAGTATCAACCAAATGGGAGGCCTAGAATACAAAGCATCCGCATAGCCAAGCAGTTCCCACAAATCTGGCACAAGGAGGAACCCAATAACTACCAGGCACCCCCACCCACAGGCTTTCCAGCTCGCATGAGGAAGGAGGTACTGAGGGGAGAGGGCCCAAGAAACACTGACAAATAGACCAGGTGAAATAAATGAGCTTGGGGTGATCTGCAGGCAGGGTCTGTGGCAGATTGCCCAGGGGACAGAGGGGGGAGGACACAGACACACAGAGCTGGGAGAGAGGAAGCCAAGATTCAATGCACGTAGCCCTGGTGATCAGCAGGTATTAGAGAAATATGAGAGAGAACAACAGGTCAGCATAACGAAGGGTTCAACACTAGCCTAATGGCTGCCAGGGAAGCCAGTGGGAATTACCATTGGGAGCAGAGTTAGTCCAATATTGAACGCTTCATAGTCCCACATCCTGCCCTGCACAGGGTGTAACTGGCGGGGAGGAGGCAGGGGCATGTGCTGCCTTTGAAAACCAGCCTCCTTTCCTCTTTCGCTAATAACATAACCCTGGACCTTTGAAGAGCTCACTCGTCTCTGTTTAAGATGCTGCTTCACTTTTTTTTTTTTGCCTTTCACAGAACTTGGATGGTGAAGCCAGCCTGGTCAGATTCACTTTTGTTTCAATTCTGGGAACTGGCATAATGTTGTTTGTGCTCATGGTTCTGGGGGGGAGCACGTTTAATTGTTGTTGGTTTTTAAATCCACTTGTTTTCATTGAATTGAAAAGAAAAACCCACTTTTCTGCTTGCATTAGATTTCGTAAACACAGCTAATGTCTATGCGTCCAATTCAACAAGAGTTTACTCCTGCATAGACCAAACTAACAGCTAAGATCCCTGTCCTGCAATTGGTTCCATCCGTGCAGAAATTATTTGGTTTAAGGTCATGGCTAGGGGCCCCAATCGGAGAGCAGGGTCTCCTTGTGGTAGGTGTTTGACGCACGTGTAACAAAAAGACAGTCTCTGCCCCTGACCGTTTGTATTGGAAGCGTGCGATGAGAGGCAGCAGGTGGGTATGACAGACACATGGGAGAGCACCAGGGCATGATGAGATGATTATGAGAAGAATTCACTCCTACACTGAATAGTGGAGAAAAAAACATGCAGAAGAATCTTGTCTGTAGAAACGTTAGGCCAACAAGAGTGCATGAGACTGACTGTGCTCCCTGATCCTGCCCCCCCATATCCAATTAAGGAAAACAAATGCAATTTTATAAAATGGCCAAAGAAACTAGGAACCTCAAAGGTAGGAAAGTAAGGCTAGAAATACAAATAGAAAAGGAGGAGGCTAGAAAATGAGAGTAGGAAAAAGAAGTGGTGATGGAGCTGAAAGGGAGGGGCAGTAGCCACACTAGAATAATACATTGTTGGAGGTCCTGGCAGCGTTCTCTAGGAAAGTCCCTTTACAAGCACTGACTCTTGGCCCCTCTGCCTCGGGTAGCATTGACTAATGGTTAGCACCCAGAGCTGGGAATCAGGACTGCTGGGTTCTGCGCCCAGCTCTGCCACGGACTTGCCTAATAGGAGTTTCTGTACCTCAGTTTTTCCCCGTGTAAAATGGTAACATTTGGCCACTTCTGAAAGGGGCTTTGAAGTCCCCCAATGAAAGGCACTGTGTAAGGGCTTGTTTGCACTAGGGGGGCTACCGCGGCATAACCCTGCAGTGTAGACGCATCCCACAGCAGCAGAGGGGTTTTTCTGTCACAGTAGGAACTCCACCTCCCTGAGCGGCGGTAGTTAGGTCAGTGGAAGCATTTCTCCATCGACCTAGGTGCGCCTACACCAGGGGCTAGGTCGAGTAGACCAGGGTAAAGCATGGTGGTGGTTATAGGAAGGCGCGAGTGTCTGAATCCTTCTAATTTGAGGGCAGGATAATGTCATAAACTCAAAGTCAGCAAGATTCCCTCTATCTCTGTCTGGCTCTGTGAGATGTGGTTTATTTTAAGGTGTGGGGGTGTGGGTGTGGGTGTGTGTGTGTGTGGCGGGGGGATCCCATCCACTCGCTGTGATCAATACCTTCACAATAAGGTCCCCGCCCTTTCCATGGAGTTTGTGATGAAAGCTCTGATGCGACTGGGCCTGCTACAATGGAGCCAGCACACTGGAAGCTGCAGGGCCCGTCTCTTTGCACAGCGTTCTCCTTAGCTGGCCTCCCTGCTGGGATCTTCCCATTTAACCAGGGACCAGCCACAGCCCAGGCCTCTCCTCTGCTCCCCCAGCCTGCACATGCTCATTGCTCCACTTGGGGCTGCATCCATCCGCCACCACCAGCTCGCCTCAATTCCAGCCCCTTGCAGACCTGCACGCCCACCACCATCACCCCCACCCCGCAACGCACAATTAACCCTTTCATTCCTCGTCTCTGTGCTGCCACATCCCAAACAAAGCCAGCGTGTGGAGGCAAAAACTTGACCAACTGCTGGCCATGATAAATAATGGTACAGTGCTTAAAGCAGCCTCTGGCTTCCCGGTGCATCTGGGCTTGGGGTAATGTCCCATTAAAGCCTGGCGAATATTCCTTCAAAAAGTTGCCCATTGCCAGACTCTCCCTTGACATCCCTCTGTGTGTCACAGCAGAGCCTGGGGAGGGGGGAATTGGCCGTAGCTGCCTGTCAAAGAGCATGGGGGTGTTTGTGCTTCTGGAGCCCTTTGCTGTGGTGTTAGCTGCAGGGATCCCTGATGTCACAGACAGAGGGGGCGCTAGAGAGCTCTGGGAGATGCCCCTTCTCCCCTGGGACGGAGAGCCACGTTTTCCAGCCACCACTGATTTGGAGCGGGGGGGAGAAGGGCAATGTGGAAGACCTGTGGCCTGACAGTCAGAGGGGCTCAGTGCTTCCAGAAATCACGCGCAGGGTATTTTAAGTTGGGTACCTAAAATCTGAGGCTCATGGGAGCTGTAGGCTGGAATCCTGCCCGGCTGCTGCTCATGGCAAGGTAAGGGAGGAGGGGGAAAGAATGAGGCTCATGTGGGTTAGGCCCGTGGTCTCTCAGTCATTTATCCGGAGACCATTGCAGAAGCTTTGCCGGTCCCCTCGGCTGCCCTTCGGAAAGGCAGGGCACTTGGAGACGCTGCACTGTCTCAGTCCCGCTCTCTCCCTTCCCGCCCCCAGGGCCAGCGCACTGCAATCTTCGTGGTTCTCTTTGCTTTGATCATGCTGCTGATCATCTACAGCTCGAACAGTGGGAACGAAGTTTTTCACTACACTGCCCTGCGAGGGAAATCCCACCGTCCCCCCAACCTCAAGAAATGGGGGGTGAAAAGTGGATACCTCCCCGTCTACGGAAACAAGGTACGGCGCAGCCCACCTCGGGTGAGCCCTGGGGCGCTCCCTTGTGGTCACGTCGCAGACTGGCTCCCGGGTGTCTGGGCTGTGGCCAGCAGGCGTTTACACTGGGAAGGAAGGGCTGGATTATAGCTCGCTGGGGGGAGCCGCGCGATAGCATGCTGGTGCATTAGAAGCATGAAGGGCCACTGCTTTTCTGGCCTCCGTACGGCTGCACCCTGCCCAGTTGGAGTTGGTGGAGCAGCGGCGACATGATACAAATTGCAGCTTCTCAGCTGGAGAGTGGACCTTTGTGTTTCTATTATGGAAGCACCACCCATTGCTGAGAGCAAGGGACCGGGAATCGGGTCTTCTGGACTCTGTTATCAACTCTGCTTCCGGCTCACTAACTGGCCCTTGGCAAGTCACTTGGCCCCTCTGTGCCCTGGTTTGCCCGTCTGTGAAATGGGGGCAGTAATTCCCAGGCATGCGCAGAGGGTTCGTTCAGGAATGTCTGGTAAGCAGGTTGGGCTCCTCGGACGGAAGGTGCTTATCAGCATGGTAGTGAACTAGCTAGTGAGTGTGGAGTCAGAACTGTGACCCAGAGCGCCGGTATTTCAGTGCCCGTAATGCTCTCCGATCTGAATCCCATTGTGCTAGGTGCTGTGCATCCACATAGATGGTTGCTACTCCAAAAAGCTTCCAGTCTAAATAGACAAAGGAAGTGTTCCTGGCTTCATTTCACAGACTGGGAACGGAGAGATTGTGACCGCCCAGGGTCACCCAGGGAGTCTGTGACAGAGCCAAGAATTAACCCCAGATCTCCTGAGTCCCAGCCCAGTGCCGTACCCGAAAAACAACCCTATTTCCTGTCACCTTAGAGGGAACCCCTGATAGCTCAAGTGGCAGGGGCCAGTGTCTCTGGAGGAGAAGGGTCTCGGTTCTGTTCTCGCCGTTGCGTGGGCGTTCTAAGCAGGGAAGGCGCACGGGGTCGTGATGGTGGGGAGATCTTAGTTGGCCACAGGGTCCTGGCTAATGATGGTTTCTTCCCCAGTCCCTGAATTCCCATTGCCACCAGTGTGTGATCATCACCAGCTCCAGCCACCTGCTGGGGAGCAAACTGGGCTCGGAGATCGACCAATCGGAGTGCGTCCTCCGCATGAATGACGCCCCCACCACCGGCTATGAGGCAGACGTGGGCAACAAGACCACGGTCCGGGTGGTGGCTCACTCCAGCGTCTACAGGGTGCTGAAGAAGCCGCAGGAGTTTGTCAACAAGACCCCGGAGACCATCCTCATCTTCTGGGGGCCGCCCAGCAAGATGCAGAAGAGCTTGCTCAAGATCCTCCAGCACGTCAGCATGTCCTTCCCCAACATGTCGGCCTACGTGGTCTCCCCCGGGCGCATGAAGCAGTTCGACGACTTGTTCCGGGGAGAGACCGGGAAGGACAGGTACCTTGGAGCCCCATTCCCATTCTACTCCGGGGGGGGGGGGGCATTCTGTGCTCACAAATTACAAATCCTGCACACAGTATTTTAAAATTCTGCAAACTTTATTTGTCAGAACACTACTGCATAATCACGCCAGTTTCAATTGTTTGGGTCATTTATTTCAGAATACCTGTCAGCAAGTATGTCTGTATCGTTATAGACACACACAGAAATTCCCCCAGGAGCAGAGAGTTAAAGAAACCCCTATGACAACCCACTTCCTGTTTCTCTGCCCCCCGAACCCAGACAGGGCCAGACACCCACAACCCCTCCCCCCCCAGAG